ACACGTGAGGTGAAGAAGGAAGGAAGGGACGGAAGAGGAGAGAGAGAGAGAGAGAGAGAGAGAGAGAGAGAGAGAGAGAGAGAGAGAGAATATCTTTATAAGAAATTGTGTTTCATCTACTCCAGACAGCACCAACTCTCAGGAGTTGGTTACAATTCAGGGAACAGGGAACAGCTTTTCAATGGCTTCAACCCCACAGGGCACCTGAGAGGTTGCTGGTCTCTCTCAGAGCTGGGCAGTTCTGGGTGCCTTTTGTTCCATTTTATTCCTTCATTGTGTCTTTTCCCCCATAATGTTCTAGATTCTACTGAAGAGGCTTCTCCTCCAAACCCTTTCAGTTGGGTCCTGTCAACTTTAGGGTAGATCGCCACCTCCCAATTTATAGCCATGGACCCTCAGTTGGAAGGGGGGACTCCAGGCCAGCTCATACACAGCCTCAGGAGAGACTCTGATTATGAACAGCCCTGATGGAGAGTCACAGAATCTCAGAGGGTCTAGAAGTCTCCATACACCACAAGTTCCTTCTTCGCTCAGCCACAGAAGTAGATGGCAGGGTTTCATGAGTAGTTTCTTGTGAGGGGGGGGGGGCTACATAGGATTGTAAGCCCTTTCCACCCCACTGTGGTCTCAATAGACTAAGGAATAAAGCTTTGCCTAGCCGGAGCTACAAGAGCCACTGAACCATGGCCACGAGAACTAACGTGGCAGATGTGCCTGGAATATTTACCATGTCCTTTGCTGGCAAACTTTACCATGGCAAGCACCTGTACTGCTTGTAACCTGATTCTTGTGTTTCTGAGGCCTTCCGATACCAAGTGTGTGCCGGCCTTGAAATTAAGATATTAATAACTACTGTATCCTGCCATCTGGTGGTAGGCACATGAAATGATGGCTGGAAAGTCCAAGTCAAGAGGAAAGTCGATTCCATTTTGCAAAAACTACTGAACACAAGCTGAGGAGAATGTGTACTAAGGCCAGTGGGCTAATTACTAAGTCAGAAAGGAGGGTGGCATCAGATTTGAAACAGAAGACCAAATGAAACATCTTTAAGATCTGACAAAATGACTTATATAGTAAAGACCACAGCAAGAGGAACAGTGGTATTATTCTGGCATATGGAGAGAATGTGTCCCCACATGCAACAGAAACAGTAAGGGTCCTGTGGACCCCACAGCAGTGAAATGGGTGACCAGAACCTGGCCTGTTCGTCTTGTGCTCTGAAAGTGGAAGCATCACAGTGATGGTGTAGACACCTCCTCATGGGGACGTAACTGCCAAGGCCAGCTGGGGCAAGGCCATGGAGACAGTCTGAAGGACACAGTTCCAACAGGCCTCTCCACAAGCATATGGGCTCCTTTGCAACCACTGAGCAAGCTTCCCAGCGCAGGGTAGCATGGATGCCCTCAGGACTCCTCCAGCGTCCACAAGCGTGTGAGCCGAAGCAAATCCCAGGTAGATAGGTGGTGGTGTGTGGCAATTCTTGTTTGCCACTGTCGTGTCTGGATGGTGAGATCTGGAAGAGATGCAAGAGACTCCTGATGGCAGACAAAAACATTAAGGACTCAAGAGGAGCAGCCCCCCTGCGTCTGTGACAACAACACACAAGACACCCAGCCCCTCACCTACCATTCCTGCATTTGACTAGCGAGGGTGAAGTGTTCTCTCTCTCTCTCTCTCTCTCTCTCTCTCTCTCTCTCTCTCTCTCTCTCTCTCTTTCTCTCTCTCTGTGTGTGTGTGTGTGTGTATGTGTGTGTGTATGCGGTATTTGAGGTAGATAATGGGCACCAAAGCAGGAGGGGCTTCCTCTGAGGGGAGGGGAGGCCTGAGGACAGAGCCCTATCTATGACTGTTTGATGCCTCTGTCTGTGTAGGCCCAATGCAGGCAGCCACTGCTGTAAGTTTATGAGGACTGTGGCTAGGCCATGGCCAGAAGAGAACATTTCCCAGCCCCGCTCCCCATCATCGGGTCCTTCATTCTCCTTACCCGTCTTGTTCCCTGGGCTTCCCTCGGTGAGTCTCACTGGGATCCGTTATTGCTATGAGGAGTGACAAGCGGTGATGTTTCTACTTTTGGTACTCGGTGTATGTTTGTTAGCTGCCTTCCTGCTTGCACGACAGAGCTGGCCCTGTCCCTTCTGCACTCATCTCAATGAGGTCTTGCTCATGTTTTCATTAGTGAGCTAGAGTTCTTGATACTCCTGCTCGTTTTGATGGTCTGATGACTCCAGACTTGGCCAGTAGGACCCCTCTAAGCTGCCTAAGCAATCACTCTCCACACCAGCCCTGACCCCTTGGCGCTCTTTTATGAATGCTGTCAATTTCTCTATTAGAAAACTCCAAGGCTTCCCCCATCCTGCTCCCCCTACCCCCATCCCCATTGTGAAACAGGATTTTCCTGCCTGAAGATTTCGCCCCTAACTAGTGCAGCCCTGACCATCTTCAAACACAGGGCTGTTTAACTTCAACACGAAACACGGACAGAGTCGAGCAGTGTGTGGGGGCCTGGGAGCAGGTGGCGCCTGCACTAGGTCGACTCAGCCATCCTAATGGTATTTGCTTTCCCCTGTGTAAACCAAACCCTGGCTGCAAGGGCTCAGCCCTTTGCTTCCCTGTTGCTGTTTATATCACTCCAAAGGCAAAGCAAATTTGGACTCGTCTTAGCCATCAAGGGCTTCCACTGTAAGTTAGGAAGAAGAGGGGTAGATTGCTCCTTCGGGAACTCAGTCTTCCCTCAGGGGCTGATAGTTTTCTAATTTCATATATCATGCTGGAGGAGGGATGTTTCCCTTTTGCTCAGAGAGTTCCTTGTTCCAGGCAAGATGTGGATGGGATTTTGATATAGGCACTGGGAATGGACCGAACTTGATCTGATGTGTATAAGGAAGAATAATCGCAGATATGGGTGTGTGTGGTGTGGGGGGGGAGGTACATTGGTCCCACCCTGTTCACCTCTGGGTCATAGAACCTTGAACATTAGAGCCATTTGAGAGAAGGAATGTCACCAGGAAAGGAAATCACAGAGTGGAAAGAAAGGGCAGGGCCTGAACCAGGAAGACTGTCCCACAGCTCAGGCCGGTACCTGACTCAAAAACATGGCTCTCGAGTATGAGACGGGACCTGAAGGAAAGCCAAGAGGTGAGCCCTAAGGGAGGCGGTTTAGACACTAAAAAGGTAAATGCTACTCAAATAGCCTGTAATTGCAGGGTTTAGGAGAGCAATGTGGATCCTGTCTCTCCTAGGACAGATGGGGGAGCCTGACGACTGCAGGAAACACACATGCAGTTGAAGGGCTCAATCTCTAGTTTGCCTGCCTCTGTCTGTCCGTCCCCCTTGGGAAAGGGTAGGAGGAACGTTAAATCCGGGCCATTCCTGCATTTCTGAGCAATTTACACTGTGACTCTAGTCCAGCAGAAAATGCAAAAGGCTTTTAAGCTGCACCAAGTAATAGCTCCCCAGGATCCAAGCAGCTGCTAAGAAGCTGGGAGGGACCAACACTGCGCCTGCTCCCACCTCCCGGCCCCGCCCCCTTTGCTTCTTTTCTCCCTCTCTTCTGGCTGCTAAACTAGAACTCCAAAAGCTGGCCTACTAATTGCTAATATTCAGTTATAGGACTATCTCAGTCTGTCTTTTTGGTTTCTCAAATACTATTGAGCTCCCTTTTACTTTGTCTTAACTAGTTACCTTCTTACCTGGATTTAAAAAAAAAAAAAAACAAGAGTTAGGTATTACGGCATTGCAGGTACTGTCAGTTATAACGTATATTTCCATCTGATCTATGAGTTATGAGCAGAAAGTGAGACAGTAGGGAGGTAGAGCTAGGAGCATAATCCTAAAAGCCACTGTGTTTGTATGTGTATGCACATGTGTGTGCACATGTGCATGTGCATGTGTGAGCATGTTTTTATGTGCTGCTACTTAAGCATCCCGTCCCTTCCTTCTCTGCAGGGCTGTGGTACTTTGGTCTCTGTGTGCTTTTCACTTGATGTCATGATTGACAGACCTGTACCATTGGTCTTTATTCCAGAAACAGTTACTTCTTGGTGTTGCTAATGCCTGTGTTATGGCAACTTGATTGCATACAAATAAGGCGTGGAGAGCTGACTACATCATGAAAATGGATCGGAAATAAATCTACGACGTATCCCGTCGTAGCACATGCTAGGAAGATAAATAAAAGATAATCAGGAGGGAAGATGAGAGATGGCTGGGTGGCCAAGTGGACTTGCAAATTCACTAAGGGATTTGGTGCTTGGGAAAAGGGGGGATATGTAATCACTTCCTGTGCTGCTGGAAAAATTGCTACAAATAGGGTTTTCAGACAAGTAGTCAAAGCTTATAGAACATCATAGTAGGACCACGTGACAGAAGATACTTGGTCACCTCATGGCAGTTGAGAAATAAGAAAAAGGAAATAAAAAAGAGGGCTAGGTCCAAATATTCTCTTTAAAGGTGTGTCCCCTAATGATCTAATTTCTGTCCACTAAACGCCACCTTCAAAAAAGCCCACCACTTCACAGTAGTACCACAGGCTGGTACCAACCCTCCAACACATGGGCCTTTGATGGACATTCAGGATCCAAACTATTGCCATCTTAATACCTGAGGAAGTGACAAGGAGTTCTCTAGGAGTGTTTACACCTCCTGATGCTGAGCTGTGCTGTGTCCAGAATTCCTGGGTCCCTGGGGAAGACCACAGGCCGCTAAGCATCATGGGTCCCTTTGCTCCGGGCATTATTCCACCATGCTTTTCTCATCTGCAGATGGCGGTGGAATATAAAACTTAGATGGCTGAAGAGGGGTTTTGTGAGGCAAGAGTAAGGAATGAGAACTCTAAATCCCTGACTTTAGAACCGTGAGGAGGGTCTGTCTTCCTGATTCACGTGCTAGCCTTCGACCAGAACTCACAGCTCTTAATTTTGATTATCTAGAAGAGAAAAGTCAACTCAATTCTCACTAATACGACTAATGACACTCTCTTTTTCTTGCCCTTTCTTTTCCAGATGGTAACGAAAAATAATCCAGATGGGGTGCAGGTGCTGTAAGATGATACACAGGTAAGTGAGCAGAGATCGCATGGCCAGGGGAATCCGTAGCCCCTGCGGAGTCTTGTGAAGACCATGCCTGTAAAATAAGACGTGGAAGCAGAAGAGGGACTCCAGGGAGAGAACGGGACAGTGCGGGAGGGGAGGACACACTAGAGGATGGGGGTGGATAGTCAAAGTCAATTATTATATACAGGGATGAAAATGTCACATGGAAAACCATTGTTTTGTCCAACGGCAAACACTGAAGCAATAGCAAGAGTATAGAAATAAATAAACCCATAAAGACCATGCATGTGGCAGCAGCTCTAAAAGTAACCCGGTGCGACTGCGCTGCCATCAGTGCACGTAGGCAGCTCAGGCTTGGCCCACATTGCCAAGATACAAAGGCTTGGCTCCATTTAGCATTATTTAGGTGTTTTTTTTTTCTAAATTTTTCTCATTGCTCAAAACTGTTAAGACATACCATTCTACCTGGGGTCAAATTTACATTTCTCCCAAAGCCTTCAATGCAGGGGGAAAAAAAAAAAAAAAAAAAAAAAAAAAAAAAAAAAAAAAAAAAGCTCAGGTTATAAAAGACTCCTGAAGGACATCACCGACAATAAAGAGTCCAGTCACCTTTCTTGTGACATTTCATAAAGCCTTGAGTGACGTGAGTCATAAGGAAAACAAATTAACTGATAATGAAATGACTTCCCGGGCTGGAGTGGGAGAGGCAAGGCTGCGAGCGGGAAGCTCTGACTTCATTTGATTCCAAACACACACATAAGCATCCCTCTGTCACAGCCCTGTGATGTTGGGCTTCGTCCAAACGGACTTCTTATCTCCAGTATTGGTTCTCTACATCCGTGGACTCTACAGCCAGGGTCCACCAACCTGAGATTCAAATATTCCGAAAAGAAACCAAGTCTGTGCTGAGCATTTGGACTTTCTTCTTGCTGCTCCCTAACCAGTACAGGTTGAAGATAATCCATATGACGTTTATCTTGCCTTGGGTAGAACAGAGAATCTAGAAATGACTTGAAGTGTAATGAGGTGTGTGCAGATATACCATAATTTCATACAGAAAATTTGAGCATCTACAGATATTGTTATTTATGAGAGTCCTGGAATTAAACCCCCAGAGACCTTTTTTTTAAACCTTACCACAGGCTTCATATTTATCATTTTCATGATTGCATAATATTCCCTTGGAGAAATATACTGTTGGTACTTGGTACTTAACCCCTTATTTCCCTGTTAGTAGACATTTTTTAAATTCATTTTAATTTTTAAATTCCATAAACTACTTTATAATTCACCTATCCCTTCCTTTTTGGGTCCCTTCAGCTCTTTTCATGAGCCAAAGATTTGTATGCCAAGTGTATTTATTCTCTCCCGTCCTGATGTCAGCTTAGCTGATGGCTGTTCCTCTCACCCCCAGCTATCTCTTCGACCCAGTTCAAGTGCCCTCCCCTGGCTTTGTCAACGAAGTAAACAGCTGCAAGTTGGAGGAGGAGGACACTGTCAGACTAAAAGGCACCCAGAATAGCGAGTTTGAGGTGCCCAGGAACGCGCTGCATGCTGGGAGCCTGAGCAAGCCAGAAAACAGAGATAATATATCTGGTCTACCTCACCAAGGACCACTCCCTCAGGAGGACTCAGAAGAGAGACACTGTGCAGAGAAGCAGGGTATTGTCAATGGCATCAGCCCCACTGCCAGTCTGCACTTGGTCAGGCCCCACCAAGATGACGGTGGCTCCTGGGCCAGCAGCCCCTGGGCAGGCTCTATAGACAGTGCTCACCCAGCTCAACCCTTCCTCGAAGGAGAGGACTGCAGGAAGCAAAGTCACACGGTGCCCACCTCGGAAGAGACCCAGACGGTGGGACACGGAGACTGCAGAACCCCTGCTGAGGTCTTGGCGGTGGCTGACCACATCCTACACATACCAGCCCCGGATTACCCCCAGCTCTGGAGCCCCACGGTAGACCGTGAAGACCCTGAAGAAAAGGATTATCTTTTTGAGAACCGCTCTGAGGTGGAGCCCCTGCCGGCAATTCACCCCAGCGTGAGTGAGCAGGGTTTGAACCTGCCCTTCTCCCTGAAGAGAAGCTGGGACTCACTGAATGAGGCAGGGCCAACAGAGGTTCTGAATGTCTGCTTTAAAGAAGAGGGTCCCGCTCACCCTCCGTCAGTGGTGGATTCTAGAAGTGAGCGGGAAGTCCCCCACACCTACAATGGGGACAGGGACAGGGTTATGGTAGATGAGGACGCTGAGGTGGCTGAAGCCCTTGCAGCATTAGAAGCTGCGACTGCAGGAGAAGATGCAGACGAGGCAGATTAGGGGAGGGGCTAGGTGAAGGGCCCCAATAAGGTAAGAGAAGCAGGTGGACACGGGGCTAACCACTCTGCGGGCATCCCCAGGCAGCCTAACCAGCTGCCCACTTGTTTACATCTGTTCTCTCCCCGTCGCCAGTACCTGTGCCAGGCTGCCGACTGTCTACGGCACCCCTCTGTGCAGCTGGACTCTGACTCAGAATGCTAGAATCAGAGTTAAGTGTGGGCCATCACGACCATGTCCACAACAAATGCAGAAGCTAGGCAGCTTGCTTGCTGGCCCTAGAAGCTCCCCTAGAACATCTGTCCAGATGTGCATGAGAATGCCCTGATATATATCCCTGCACCCGATCCTAGGGGCACACAAACATGGGCCGAGCTATTTGAATGTATTTCTTTACCTTGTTTTTTTGAGAGCCAAATATGTCACCCGACCTAGATAGGGTAACTATCCACTTAAAGTGCCTACTGTATACCAGAGGTTAACTTCAGGAACAGGCACCCAGGGAACTACTCACTAACCACTTGTTGGACATCCGGTTAAGCTCTGCAGCCTTCAGGGTGAACCGGATGTGGCCAGTGAACAAACGGTTAGTCCTTAGCTGTGCTATGAAAACACCTTCACCTTAACTTTTTTTACACGATTACTTTTTAACCTCCTCTAGGATGCGGGGTCTGGCCAAAATATTTCTTAAAAACAAGTGTCATGTTTTAGTTTCAAGTTCATGCGTGTTTTGGAACAGCAAAGTCATTTGTGGAGGGGTTTGTGTCATTAAATGTCTGGTAAAAGCATCAGCACACCTATGCCTCTCTATCTTGTCTCAAACACCGTCAGCAACCGCTGGTGTCTCCTCTCGTTTACATAGGGTAGACATCTGTTTGTTAGAATGAAAAGGGAGGGGCCAGATGTGGCACCCCCTGTGTAGAGGTGGGATAGTCCCACTTTCTGCTCACACCAAGTTCGTTAGCATCTGATCACTTGGCCACATCTATCTGGAGAGGAAAGAATAGCAAACATAATCAAGCTGCGTACTCGGGTATCCCACATCAATTTGAGATATAATCCCTGAGCATGGGAGAGACCGGACATTGATTTCGAGGTGAGCAGCCTGCAGTCTCTGCCATGTCAGAGGCTTGGTTTGCAAGAGGAACGAGGATGCTTCTCACATTGATTGTGGCCCAGAACATAAGGAAGTCTTGGCAGTTACCACCACCCTAACTTCAGCAACACTCCCAAAATGGACACAGAAAGGAAATTTAGACAGGGCCTGGATAAAGAACGGACGGATGCAGACAAGGCCATCTGTCTGTCCCCAAAACACTGCACTAAGCATGCTCAGTAGCTACTCGGCATGTCCCCTAAATTCCCCAGCACAGACAGCTCTCTCAAGTTGTAGGGCTTCATTTTCTGCAAAAAGTTGCTTTGAGAAGGTTAACAGCCAAGAATTCCAACCTTTTTTATGAAACAGTCTTGGCCCTAGTCACCTTTACCCCCACACACAGGATTCACCAAAGGCCATCTTTGAGCCGGCACTCTGAACTCAAAAACTGAAAAAACTCCCCATTCTGGCTTCTTCTTTGGGTCGGCCCTACAGCCACCAGCATCTTGTGTGTATAGGGGCGCTTAATCAGAGGAGTGAGGTGGAGATGGTGCCCTTTGGAACATCTGAGCGTCTTGAAAGCACAGGCGCACCCAAAGTGAGGGACCAAGGTCAAGCTCAAACATCACGGGTCTCTACAATCCGTGTGTGTGTGTGTGTGTGTGTGTGTGTGTGTGTGTGTGTGTGTTGCACATGGAGATCAGAGAACAATTTGTGGAACTCAGTTCTCTCCTTCAACTGTACGGAGCCCAGGAATGGAACTCAGATCATCAGGAATGGCAGCAGGCACCTTTACTAAGCCATCTCGCTAGCCCAGCTTTATTTTATTTATTTATCATTACACACTGATTGCTTTTTTGAGTTAAGACTTACATTTAACTTTTCACTGGTAGAAACTGAACTATCCTATACATAAAACTGTCATTTCTTGTTGCAGATTGTTATAATTGTCAAGGCAGGGCCTCAAAGGAATGAGAATTTCGGTGTCTCGCAGGGCACACAGTATTTGTCAGTGCTCAGTGAATGACGCCATCTGTCATCTCCCATCTCCCTCCGGGTCTCTCGTCAGTACATCCTTTCAGCTTGAGGCAGCTGTCAGTCCTGGGGAACTCAGCAGCAGTTCCTACGTGTAACTTTCTGTGCACAAGGAAGCACCAGATGCAGAAATGAGCAAATATCTCCTGACTTGCCTGGCTTAGTCACCACTGGCCCCCATAGCAGGCAGGACAGCCCCTATGGTAGTCCGGACTTGAGGTCTCTTCTCATCAAAGGCACTCTCATCTGAACAAGTCTTTTTTAAAAGAGTAATTTTTATTTATTTTAGCCAATTCATGTTTGATATACATACTTATATTTTTTCTTGTTTTGGGTTTTTTGTTTTGGAGGGTTTTTTTTTTTTTTTTTTNTTTTTTTTTTTTTTTTTGGTTGGTTGGTTGGTTGGTTGGTTGGTTGGCTGGCTGGCTGGCTGGCTGGCTGGCTGGTTGGTTGGTTGGTTGGTTGGTTGGTTGGCTGGTTGGCTGGCTGGTTGGCTGGCTGGTTGGCTGGTTGGTTGGCTGGTTGGTTGGCTGGTTGGTTGGCTGGTTGGTTGGCTGGCTGGTTGGTTGGCTGGTTGGTTGGCTGGTTGGTTGGCTGGTTGGTTGGTTGGCTGGTTGGTGTTTTTGTTTTTGTGTTTTGAGACAGGGTCTCCCCACATAGCCCTTGCTGTCGTGGAACTTACCCTGTAAGATGGGGTTGGCCTTGGACTCACAGAGGCGGCCGCCTCTGCCTTCTGAGTGCTGGGATTAAAGGCATGCACCATCTCACCAGCTTGTTTGCAATAAATACTGAACATAATCCAATCAAGCCCCCATCCCACTCACTCAGACCCCACCATAACCCCTCCCACCTTCACATCCTTTTCTTTCTTTCTTTCTTTCTTTCTTTCTTTCTTTCTTTCTTTCAATTAAATAGCCCATTGAGTTCAGTTAGTGCCACCAGTGGTGAATGGGCAATTTCCAAGCTGCCACATCCCAAAAGAAATATGACTCTACCAGTGCCATAAATTGCCAATAGCTCCTTGACCAGGGATGGAGTTCCATGAGCCCGCTCCTGCCCATGCTGGAATACTGACTGGCTTTATCTCGCACATACCTTTATGATGGGAAAGAGAATTCTCCCTCTCTGGTCTCATTTTACTTTTCCTCTAGATTAAACCCATCCCCCTGAGTTTGGTGACAGAGATGGTGACAGATACTCCAAAGATGACATTGACTTATGGTAAGTGCTTTCCCTGAAGATGAAACAGTAAGCTTTTAGTTTTACTTTTGGCTTTTTGAGACAGAGTTTCATGCAGCCCAGGCTGGCCTTAAATTGACTGTGTAGACAAGGCTGGCTTTGAACTGCTGATCCTCCACCTCCTGAGTGCAAGGAATCGGGTACGAGTCACCTGTGTATTTATGTACTGAGTGTGTAAGGCTCTCTCATGGGTCAAGTTCCAGAAGGCTTAGGGAGCAGACTGCTGAAGCTCACCAGCCTCTGGGAAAAAAACTCACATTGGTTGTCAGCCAGGATGTTGACTGAAGTTGACTCACCTGCCCCTTGAAGTGAACTATCTGCTGTCCTTCCCACAAAACCAACTACCAAACAGGTGCCGGTGGCTACAATGTACAATCACATATGGCACAAGCGGTAACTAAGTTCACTCTCTGCTGAACGAATGAACAAACACTCTGCACATGGCCTGAGGAGACGTCAGTCAAGATGGCTGAATGACGCCAGTGGCTTCGTGTCCCGGTGATGTGCACGTATGTTTGTAGCCTGGCGGAACTCAGGCCCACACGAATCAGGTTTCCTGCAGGCATGTCACCCTAGACTGTTTACTCTGTTCAGACCAGGCTTTCTGGTGAGCCGGGGAAGGGCAGACACAGACTAGAACATTGTTGAGTCCTTATTCACCTGACGGTGGGAATCCCAAACTCAGTCAGAAACCTTAAGAAAGCCAATGTTTAGGCTAAGATGTTGGGGGTTTGGTGACCTCAGTTTTCAGTCATCTTGAATTTAATTTCTAAAATCCCAAAGCAGGAAAAGCACAGGATATATCCTGTGAAGAGCCCCCCCCCCCCCCGCCACTGTCCTTTCTCTTGATTCCAAATGATAGAGAAAGTACCTTGGGCTAGCTCTTTACACAAATTTACAGCCAAGAGTCATGGTGTCCAGGTGCCCAGGACACTTGCTCAGCACCTCACACACACACGGGTTTTAGTCACGCTGCTCCTGAAGTCCCCTGTGTCTCTTGCTATGAACCAGTGGTTTAAATTTCTTCCTCTTTCTTCCTTTTTCTTGCCTCTAATGTGGGGACACTCCTGCTTCCTAGTCTGAAAACATACTGTCCAGCTTCCCTGTGCCCTGGAAGCACATACTGCCTTTGTAAAGAAAGAGGAAGGCGAAAGCAGATTTCTAGACCTCGGAATGCAGAGACTTACTAGACCTTGAGGTGGTCCCTGGCGTCCACACTGTTGACATGGGCAGGTTTCTCGCCTTGTCTAGCAACACCGAGGCAGTGGCATTGACGACAGACACCTTGTTGAGCTCACACTGGTCATCAATAACAAATCCAGTACACTCACCCTACCTAGGTATGTTATAACTAAGTGTCCTGTCTTCTTCTGGTGTGAATTCCACCTCACAGAGCATTAATTAAAATATCAGAGTTGAAAATTTCTTTCCCATACCACCGGGACCTGTGATACCTACTTCGGAAACCACTGGTTTAGAAGACCAAACGAACCCACATTTATAAAAGCTCGCTGTGAATAAATAAAACGAGGCCAATATTGGCAGAATATACAGTATCCATGTGTGCGCACCTCAGCCTGAACACATGCACGCTTGAAAACACATACCCCGCGCCAGCTGCCTGCCACTGTTCCCTCACCGGGGCTGCTGGGGAGCACTTTGAGGCATTTAGAAATAGTTAATAGGAAACTAGATTGAAATGTGACCTAAAGGCCAGGGAAAAAAGGCAAAGAATTTCACTCATTTCCCTTATCAAACTTGCACAGTCCAATGTGGATGGGGGAGGGGTGGGCTAGCCTAATTAGAGCACTTAGTTAGAACCTTGCTACTTTGTGCTTTCCACCCACATCCCAGCACCCACATGGGGCCACCACGCACAACCACTGTAACTCCAGTTCCAGGAGATCTGACTCCATCTCCTGACTTCTGACTTCCACCGGCACACGAGTACACAATATAGACACATACATAAAAATAAATCTGAAAAAAGAAAGGAGAATCTTGACACTTTGAAAGCAATACAATACATTTCTCATTATAAAATAATAACTGCCAGACAGTGGTGGTGCACGCCTTCAATCCCAGTACTCCGGATGCAGAGACATTCGGATCTCTGAGCTCAAGACTAGCCTAATCTACCGAGCGAGTTCCGGAACAGCCAGGGGTATTACACAGAGAAACCCTGTCTTGGAAAACAAACAAATAAACAAAAACTTACCAGCTGGGCATGATGGTACATATCCAAAATCCCAGCTCTCAAGAGGATAAAGCTGGAGAACTGTGAGTTCGAATCCAACTTGGGTTATATAAGGAGATGGTATCTCAAAATGGAAGGAAGTAAGCCAGGAAGGAAGGCCAGACAGAAGGATAGAAGGGAATGTAGTTCAGTTGGTAGAGTGCTTGCCTAGCATGTGCAAA